ACTGCATGAATCGGCTACAGGCCTATTTCTTCAACGCCGAAGATGCTATGTTATATAATAAATTCTACGCAACAACTGTCAAGATGCACTTTATATTTAAGCAACTATAAGCACTAAGTTGCCAATCAATCTATCGTCAGCTATGGAAAGATCGGGTTCCAAAGGCCGGATCCCTTGTGAATCAAGTCACGAAAAGTTCAAGAATCGGCAACAGGCCATGGGCTTATTTCTTCAACGCCGACACTTCTATTCTATTCTTTTCTAACAGAAACAACATAAGTGATCGTTCTAATTGCTTTTGATTCTTGCCAATTCCTTAGCAATTTAGCATAACTACCGTACATCACTTTGATCAAAGCTTGAAAGTCCGAAAGTTTAATTTTTACGAATGATGCTCCAATGTCATGCTTTTCTCGAATTCACACATGATCATTAGGCATGCGAACTACGATCTTTCATTTACATATGTCAAAAACTTGTCAGTCACAACTCTTTAAAATAAAACTTTTCTCTATAAGTTGAAAACAATCGAATGTTTTGTAGACCCCTCACTGAATAGCACAACATTGATAAAAAATTTGCATCTAATCCTTGTAAGCTACCTAAAAGTAAGTAGGGGTGTTTAAAACACTTTCATCATTGTGGGCGAAACGAAGTATTGATTGCGACTTCAACCGAGTGAATACTGTGAATTCCGGATCCCAGTTGATGCTGCAACGTCGTGAGATAGGTAGGTTGAGGCTCTGAGCGCCTGAGTCAGTATGCGTCTAATGGATTTGCCAAGTCAATGGTGTCTATTGGTGTGATAATAAGATTTATTATAAGACTAACTGTGGGTATTATTATTACTATTATTGTTTTTTTGATAGTCTCAACTATGTTCAATGACTAATTAAAATTACGTGCATACTCAAAACTTCATCTCTTGTGCAGAAATGAAACACGAGCCCTGCGGCTAATAAATGAGCTCAGTTACTCACTGACTGAGTTAGGTACGTAGGACGGTAGGTGTCCCGTGTCATCATGATCCTGACTGTGTCACTGTAAAGAGACAGTCAGATGTAGGTAGCCGTATCCGGCGTATCGGTCCTTGAAAATGAGTTAAATAGTGACATAATAATTTGACATCCATAATTCAGACATGGACCATGATCCATCATTATTCCATCTACTCCTGTTTACTCATAAATCCACACCATTGACTCAGTCTGACTGACACTCTGACAGTCTGACAGTGACTGTCAGACGTGTCAGTGGTGTCAGTGACTGACAACCACACCAATAGTTTAGGACTTTGAATGATAGGCCACATGACCATGAGATTCATTGAGACATTGACATCATATCATTCATATGACTAATGACATGACATAGCCGGTATTATTGCAGATTAACTACATCCAAAAAAAAGGGTGTTTTTTTTTTTGAATTATATGTTTTTTGGGGTGTAGATTACGAATCTGAAATCCATTTTTGGCGGTCGGCATCGGAAAACCGATTTTTTTCCGACCCAAAAATCGCGCTGAAAAAAATCGGTTTTCCGATGCCGACCGCCAAAAATGGATTTCAGATTTGTAATCTACACCCCAAAAAACATATAATTAAAAAAAAAACACCCTTTTTTTTGGATGTAGTTAATCTGCAATAATACCACATAGCCTATCAGTTTGGAATATCAGGTATAATTTTTCAGAAATTGCAGAGAAAACATATATTACAGCATTTACAGGTGATTTTTGCAAGAATTCTGATTAGGTACTACAAAACTATGCCACTTATCTTATTTAAATTTAAAAGATTAATTTAGTACCATCAAACTGGGTAATAACAGTTTAACAGATGGTGGGGTAAATTGGAACAGGTGTTCTACTGCTACATTTTGTAGGCAGTAGAAATGTTATATATCATAGCAGTTAAACTAATTAAAATATTGCAAAACTAAAAATAGTGGTGTTAAGTTCAACATTTTTACTATCTTAGCCTATATATAGCAATATAGGGCATAGTGGCAAATCAGAGCTTTTTGGAATCAGTTCATTTTTAATTTCCTCAAAAACTCAAGATTTAAACCAATTTCTTAACTTAAAGTATGATAATGCTGGTATCAGGTATGAGTGGTATCCATGACACTTTACTGGTCTACTTATAGGACTCAAAAATGAACTGGAGGGAGAGTCTAAAAAATTCTCTGCTTTGTAGGCCACGTGTTCGCGCAATCCCGGCCATCAATTCTACGTCGCGCTGCCGCGCACGAGCAGTTTGTGGAGGAACAGACGTAATACCTACTCACATTACTCAGTACAGTATGCCTTTAATTATCTTTCAATAATATATGATTTTTCTTGATATGGAAATTTGGTGAATGAGAAATCTAGAACTTTATTTTAGAAGAAATTTTCTCCAAAGTCATATGGCAACACTGAACACCGTCTGTTTACATTTTGTATGTATAATAGCCGCAGTTTACGATTACCGTACGTTCCATATCCGACAGGCGACAAGGCGGACAAGCGGAAGAGTCAGAAGTAACCCGGACATGTATTACATTTTATTATTGTCAGTTCGACTCGCGTAGTCAATATACTCGCATATATTGTCGACTAAAATAGTAGAACTATTTTAGCTTTCTAAAGTACGGCGCACGGCGCATTTTTTTACCAGCATAGTACGGCGCACCGCGCAGGTCGTAAAAATGACAAAATAAATTCCCGCGCACCTGGCACATCTTCCTGACCATGGGTGGTATATACCAACATTGTGGGTAATTTCGACACCTCTCTAGTTTTTCCTTTATATTAAGCTTTGTTTTAGTTCCATGCGTTCGTTGATGGTTGAAATAGTGACGTCATACATTTGCCCATCAAACTACTGCCAAAACTCTAGGTTTGGGCCATCTAGCAGGAAAATGTTGAGATCCAAAGAGAAACGGTGCATGCTACCCAATGAGATCATTGAAAAATGTGTCAAAGTTGACAGTTGACCTTGCGTTTACCCTAGCATACAGCAAGTTGAGACATCATGCATTTACTACCTATTAAAAAATTGCTGAAAAAAGTGTGAAAAGTGAGATTTTGGAAATGTACCTTTGCTAATGTCTGTGAGTGTAGCAAAAAAAATATATTCACCAAATGAAAAAAAAATTGTACCTACATAAAAGTTGCACACTGGTGTTGGCTTGAAAATAGGATTGACAGAAACGGAATTTGCATATCTTATTAAAAAAAATGGCGGCCATTTCCCCAAGATGGGGTAATAAGGGACTGTAGGGAGTCAGGGACACCCCCAGGAGCTGGGGTAATAACTAATAAGGGACACCCATAAAAGCGCATTTACAGTACCGTAAAATGGGGTAACTTAGACCGGCGGGGTAACTTAGACTGGCAGGGTAACTTAGACCACTTTTCGTTTTATTAACAAAAACCCCCAAAACTCAAAAACTATTTGACATAGAAAAATTTTGTCAATGGGCATTAAAGTCCTAATACTGAGGCTTCATAACACAATAGAAAGATTTAAAAAGTTTGCATATCTAATAGGTTAAAAAATTAAAAATGTGACCCACAAAAAAAAAAACTATTATTTAAAGCCTGTCAGAGTACCCCCTCCAATTTTTTTCTTCTTTGGTTAAATAACTCCAGGTTTTGATGCATTGTAGTAGAACTCTTCTAGTTACATATGCAAATGACACATTTTTGGAAAGTGTCATAGTTTGCAAATGGGGGGGCGCTGCCCACAAATGGGGTAACTTAGACCACCTAATGTCAGCCCTGATGGGGTAACATAGACCGGCTTGGAAGTTAATATAAAATTACCATATATAACATATTTTATGTTTGACAGCCTATTTATGTTTTTTATTTATGTTTCAGACTCTACAGTGTCTTATATATGGTAATTTTAACTTAATTTCCAAGCCATTCAATATTACCCCATCAGGGCTGCCATTAGGTAGTCACATTTCCCTCATTATGGGGCGGCAACCCCCATTTGAAAACTACGACACTTTCCTCAAGTTTGTCATTTGCATATGTAACTAGAAGAGTTCTACTACAATGCATCAAAACCTGGAGTTATTTTACCAAAAAATATAATTGATTTTACCACCCAGTCTAAGATATCCCTAGAGCTGGGGTAACAAAGACCATCACTTTTTTTGAAATTACATAAAGACTATGAGAGGCAGGAGCCAGCAATTTATGGTGAGTGAAGCTAGAGTATAGACTTGTATTTTGCATAGGTATTTCAATTCAAGTTTAATTTAGCTAGTAAAAATGGCATCATTTATAAAAAAAGTGGTCTAAGTTACCCCATTTTACGGTACAGTAATGTATGGACATTGGAATATATCAATAATGGAAAAACAAGTAAGAAACACTAAAAATGTCATTTATTCTTCATATTTATCATCTACAAAGGAAGAGGAGAACTTCGGAGTACTGTTAGTAATGGATGAGTACACTTTGCTTGCTTCAAACATGTTAAAATTGAGTTTTATTTCAAGTGTACCGGATTACCCCATTCCCTGGGATAATTTGGGACACTTTTATTTTACATCTGGCACCTTACGATGAGCATATGGAATTTTTTAGAGAATGCCATTCAATAGCCCTCGCAAAGAGCTTTAAAATGAGTCCAAACTTGTTTAGGAAATATTTAATGGTAAGAAGTTATTAATGAAAAACACTCAAAACCGTCCCTTATTACCTTGTTTGACAGTAGCAGCCATTTCCGCGAGACTGGAAAATAGGGGACACACTGAAAAATGTTTTTACAGTAGAACCTTGGTTAGCAAAGTCTCCAGTTAACAAAAAAATTGATCAACGACAAAGAATTTTGATTACATTTACCTCGCTCAGCAGAAAAAAATTCACTTGACAAAACATTAATGCATCATTGGCCATCACAAAATTCTAAAATTTTCTTGATTGGTTCCATATAACTTGACTTGATTCACACTTGTGATAGAAATGATAATATTTACTAGTGTTTTGTATTTTTGCAGATGATCATTGTAGTTTAGACAGCTGGTATTTGTAGTAGTTTGTCATGGGGTCTCTGTTCCGTAGTGAAGAGGTGGCTTTGTGCCAGCTTTTCCTGCAGAGTGAGAGTGCCTACACATGCGTCTCAGAGCTTGGAGAGCTCGGCTTAGTGCAGTTCCGGGATGTGAGTAACATATTAATAGTTATTTTTTTAGGAAGTATGTATGTTCATTTCAAAATTGTTCTGTTTGCCTCTATATTTTGTACAAACTTGTATATCATTATTGCTTATATTGAAATATGGCCCCAAGTTGATTTATTTTTCTTATTCATATGCATTAGGTAGTACATATGCATTAGTAATTTAAGTTATTTCTCATGATGAATCTCTTCACTCCAATTGGTGGTAATGTTGATGTTCACTTATGTTTTTATCACTGAGTTCATCGATTAAAATAATTTAATATTCAAAGAATTTTTTTCTTATTCTATATTGTATTTATAATTTCTGTATTACCGTACATTACAAAGTTTAAATCTAATTTATAACCAATACTTAGTTTTTTACATGTCTTTTGGGATAGATGGAATTTGTTCTGAATGATATTTTGCTTACATGTGGTACCTATATCATAGATCAAAATTTATTTTTAATAGGTACTTTCTGTTAATGCAATTTTTTCTGTGCATTTTTATGCACTGAAAATAAATATATTCTGATAATGATAAATGCAAATGTAATCAATCTCTTGGATCAAAATCTCATAATTATTCGATAATATGTAGTCCTGGCTATTAGATTGTGATGTAGGTTTATGAGCTTGGCTAAGAACCTTTTAGTTGTTACTTTTGGTGCAATCCATTATCATTTCCATAGTTGTTGAATACAGTCAGTGAGTCTTCCTTTTTCACGTTTATTCCACATTTATTATTACCATTCTGATAAATTTATTAATTGTGCAGCTGAACCCAGATGTCAATGCCTTCCAACGCAAGTTTGTTAATGAAGTGCGCCGGTGTGATGAGATGGAGCGCAAGTTACGCTATCTTGAGCGAGAGATCCGGCGGGATGCCATCCCCATGCAGGACACGGGCGACAACCCTGAAGCTCCCATGCCTCGTGAAATGATAGACTTGGAGGTGCATTCAATTCCCTATTTATCTTGCATTAATTTTTTGATCTAATATATTTTGTTTCTTTGCAGAAATCATATGAAATTATTTTTACAATATTTAGAAGCATCCAAAGCTTTTGATATCAGTGAATTTTCATTTTAATGTTTTGCACAATTTTGAGTGATTGATACGTACATCTGTAGCTCAAAATGAAATGTAGTAACTCAACATATCTATTTCTTTCTATACTGTTGAAGTCCCATAAGGTATAGGTACATGTATATATAATAGTACCGTACTGATCATTTAACATTCCATTATTGGGAATATCTTGGTACATAATAAAGCTAACTTGGTATGATGCCAGTCAAGAATTATCTCAGACCAGAATATAGATGAAGTCAATGGTGCATAAACCATTTAGAACTATAAATAGGTACACCTCCCTCAATTTCATAATGCTTTGCAAAATGATAATCTGTAGAATAATCACCTCATGAGTTGTATCCTCACTAATTGGAAAAATGTACAAATGGACTAGTTTAATTACCTATATTTTATGTATGAGGTACAGAGGTAGACGGTACATACAAATTAATTTAGATTTATGTTTAACTTAAAAATTTTACCTTGTGAAGAAATAAGTTTTCACATTCTATAAACATATACATATATTCTATTTATTGATGACAGGCAAACTTTGAGAAGCTGGAGAATGAACTGAAGGAGGTGAACAGTAATGCCGAGGCTCTGAAACGCAACTACCTTGAGCTCACTGAGCTGCGGCACATCCTCAAGAAGACTCAGGTCTTCTTTGATGAGGTTGGTTGCTTGTTCTACAAATTGCAATAAAGTTATAGGTCTTGAGCTCACTAAACTGACATGTACCTATACTTATTTGCTAGTACAAGACCTAGTAGCTTTTTTTACGTTTACAGTTGCCTGTTCTAGGTATCACAATAATGTTATAGGTCAAGAGTTCAATACCGGTACTTCAAATCTAAGGCAATAGAATGTATAAAAAGAAAGAACTCAGACCTACCATGGTTACTCAGTGGGCAATGGAGGCTTATCTAGTGATGGTACAGAGTAGTTGTGTTCCTCCGTGGACTTCATTTTTTCCATATTTTTTGTTAATTAACCCCATTCTAATATTTAGAATTTAACAAAATGAATTGCTCTACTAACATAGATAGTATTAGTTTATATATTTCATGATTGTTATATCACAAATCATTAGTGTCTTGTGCTTATTCCTTTTCTTCTCATCCAGATACCAGGCTCGAGTAATATAGGTACCTACCTATACACTATTTATGCTCCAAATCTAGCTATCTTTTTTTTTTAGCTTTAGGGTTGACAGAATGTTTCCAATGGTCTTCATGCTCATGGAGTTATTTGGAAATTTTTCTCACATTTTTGGTTGAATTGTAAATTGGTTGGCCAGTTGAAAGTTTGTCCATCAGAAGTCAGCATTTTGATGCACAATTGATAGCATGAGTATGTTTCCTATAAGAGAAGTTTGGCATTGTTAGTGTCAAAAAATGTTTAGAGCTGAGATGAAATGTTGTAGCTTGCAAAAAAAGTAAAGAGAACTTTCATGAGTTTTTCCTCTCAAACATAATTTTTTCTTTCTCACTTAGAAGGCCCTTTTTGCTGCATGTGATGGCAATAGCAAATTTCACACTTTTAATTAGTTAGTGCACTTTGCCCAGTGTTGCTAAAGGCTTCATACAATTTATTTAACTCACACATCGCATGAAGCCACACTTGCTGCAAGTCTAGTTCTCTGTGATCTTCCTATAATGTTAAAAGCCCAATGTCCTCAGTGTTCACCTATTAGTGTTCCAGAGCACTTTATTTCAATATCATGATCCATAATATGGTATATAGCATAGCTCTAGTGCTGATAAGTGTGCTGGTTGCACCCCTCACTTTTATTCTGTTGTAGGAGGGCCATCTTTGGCCGTGGCAGGCAGAGGTAAGCAACTGCTAGAGAAATTATGTTGGGCATTCCCCCACGCTTCATATGTTTAGTTTATGTTTGGCATGTCAAGATGCCCTTGTGCCTTACCTATATCAAATGATTCTGGGCGTGTAAAGCTTACCTCTCATGATCAACTTCTGTGGGATGTGTAGAGGTTTTCTCTCACTTGACACGTGGGGTGTTAAACCTGTTATGTACAAGGTTGTACAAAACAGGAAACTTGTACCAAGATAATGAAACCTGTACAAAGCTGTACAAGTTCTTTTGTTTACTGCTGGCAGTTGAGCATTGCAGGGGATGAATCTGGTTGAGGGAAAATGAACTACCAGCATTAATGCTTGTAATGAAATTGCAAAATGCTAATGATTTGGAAAAATCCTTTGTTCTCTAAAGCATCATCCCATCTCCAAATAATCATACAGTATACCTATATATACAGTGGGGGGAAATAAATATTCGTACACTTGAAAAATCGTACTTTAATGTATGTAAGTACACAAACTGAACAGGAGAAGTGATTTATATTATGTATAGAGGCGCATTGTATTAAAAAATAGCATCAATAAAAATTAAATCTCAATGCAACAAAAATTAAAGCAACATGTTAACTTCTTCGGGTGAAAAAAGTATTCGTACAAAACAATAAATCCGCATTATTTTAATTTAATACTTGGTTGAATACCCTTTATTCAGCTCAACATATTGAGATTTAATTTCTATTGATGCTATTTTTGAATACAATGCGCCTCTATACATAATATAAATCACTTCTCCTGTTCAGTTTGTGTACTTACATACATTAAAATACGATTTTTCAAGTGTACGAATATTTATTTCCCCCCACTGTAAATGCTATAGCAGTGAAGCTCCTCTGGTTTGGTATAATAAGTTTATTTCCATTCCTATCCCTGTTCCTGGTAATCAAACTACAAAATAAATGTTTTGGCAAGCTCCAAATAATGTGGATACTGTATATGATTGAGAAATGTTGATTGGGATAAAATGAGTACTGTAACGAACTATTAAAAACGTTGCTGAACTGCTGCTTTAAAATGTTACTCATGGTTCAATTTTGCACACCAACTGCAAAGCTAGTCTATATAAATTCCATCAGCATAAGCTGTAAAATCCATCAGCATAAGCTGTAAATTCCATCAGCATAAGCTGAAGTTACCCTCATACTTGTTTACTTGAGTGATAAAATAATGAGAAACTAAATCAATTTGTACAACTGCAGAACTGCTTGCTTTAAACTGATGACAAAAACACTGCCAGCTGCTATCTTTGCTAGCATTTATAAGGCACCTACCTATCTGCAGCTAATCTCAGGTGTCTCAATTTTAGGATATCATTTAAGATTTTCCTTCGTTCATCTTAAATTTTTTTTTTCTTCAAATCTATCATCAAATGCACTAAGGATGACAAAAACATCTTGAACAAACAGATGACTGATGCTGTCTCTCTCCAGGCTTCCTTGTCCATTGTAAAACAGTCATTGGTGGGCCTTGTTGCTTTTTATGTAAAAATATTCACAGTATTGTTATAATTCATATCTTAGTGATCAATTAATATCAAACATTAAACTTCCAACCCTGTCAAAAGAGGTACCGGTATGTGTATTCATTTAAAAAATTTCAAATCCCCTGTCTTTCTTGGACAATCTACAGACCAGGCCCTTCACCAAAAATTTGAGAAAGCCTGTTGGATTACATTTGTTGAAGCATTTGCATGCATGACCACATTGTCTAATTATTTGGTGAGACCCCTACGTACCTATGTCACCTGTAACATAGTTTATGTATGGCGAGACTTAGCAGTCCAGTCTTGGTCTGCTGCTGATATCTTCAGTTTTGTGTTGCTTAATTTAAAGGAATTGGAGTACCGGTAATTCATAGTCTAACATAATGGCAATTGTAAACAAAAATGAAAGCGGCTGTTGATGCTTCCAAAATTTGTAGAATTACCGCCAATGATTCAAGAAATAAGAGAAAAGTTAATTGGCATTAGAATTTAGAATATGCCTAATGAAAGTAGCAATCAGACTACCATGCATATTTTATTAACATTTAAAAAAATGTATGCATCATTTTCAGAGTATGATTGCATCAAGCTGACAAGAAAATAAAGGCTTGTCAATGAAATTACTTTGATTAACTTTGGCATCCATTCTTTTATTATGTCTTTGAACTTATTAAGCCTTGTATTACGTGACTGAAATCTTCTGAAGGTATCATGATTCAAGTGATGAAATCTCTATAGTCCTTCAAAGTGTGTAATTCAATGCAGCATTAAACATGCATTCCCTGTGCATTGCAAAAGTACCACAAAAGCATGGCAATGCAACCATGACTTGAAGTATAATAAAATTCTTGGTCTACAGGGTAAATTGTATTCATATTCATGTCTTTCTACTTGGCTGCATTTTCTGTTTGACTGTGAATTTTAATTCCATTATCTGCTGCCCTGATTTTGATTGCCTTGTCAATATATCTTGATTTCTTAATAATTAGAACCATGTGATAGCTAAGAGGACTCAATCTGGGTGGATTCAGCTTCATTAGATACGTAGCAATAATAAGTTGAGATTATTTTATTATTTAACATTGCTAATAACTATGGTTTCACCTTTATTTATGACCTGTACCTGAAGAAGGTCTCAAACTGATACTAGAGCCTACATCAGATGTTTCTCATCAGATGTTTGCATCTAATTTACTCCTTCATGCAAATCAATGCTTTTATTTGGGTTTATGTCATCACTGCTAAGGTTTAAATGTATTTGTGATTTGCGTTTTTTCTTTCTAAGACGTTGAAACTCACTTGTGAGATTCTAACAATTTCTTTGATTCTTTTTATATACTTTAATTCCTTTTATACAATGCTGTTTTTATTGAGCAGCTTGCATTCCCTAGTCCATGCATGCATACCGTCACATGTAAATAATAATTTCTGCAATCTTAGATTCTAGCAAAAGCAATGGAGCCACAGATTACCAATTCCTTCCCTTGAACCATATCAAAAACCTGAAATGTTGGAAAAGCCCAACAAATCCAACAAAAGCTGGAGGCCTATGTGCATCTTGTTACAAGAGACTTATTTTATCTCTGCTAACTCCTGTGGTGAAATGTTCTCAGAGCAGCCACCCTCTTGTCAGGAATGGACTGTGGTTGTTATCCAGGTTACTACTGTAATAAGTTGTACTGTACATTATTGTGAGGTGCAGTAGCATGAAGTGTCAAGTGAGAGTTTGTGTACACATTCCTCCCGTGCAGGCAATGTATCCCCCCAACCTGCCTCCCGATCAGGCTCCTTACTTTGATGATGATGATGAAACCATCAACCTTTTGACTGACATCTCGCTACATCAACTCAAGCATATTGGGTAAATGAGCTCGTCTCTTTAGGAATGTCAACACCACTGCCACTTTTGCCCCCACACGGCAACCATCATCATTGCCCTCACCAAATGCCTCCCCACTCCATCAATTGTTCTACATCACTTCAAATGCTACTAATAAGCAACATGATTGCTCTGAGCAGCACAAAATATAGTATTGCATTACATAAATGATATTTATTGGCATCACCACCACCAAAATTGACCTAACTACCATGACTAGTATTTTTCACCTCTGATACGTACTATTGCTCACAACAGCTATACTGTTGCTCCATAACAATCTTGCTGCAACAGCACTCACATTTGAGTGCCTACCAAGTTCACACTACAATCACTTCATTCCACAAAAAATTGCTCATGATATCTATCGTACTTCCCCTTTTGTTCATAACTAGAAAAAATGGGGTATGATGTTGCTTGAAATAATACACCACTTGGTCTATTTAATTTTTATTCTTTTTAAAGTCAAACCTGCTATTATGTGGAGATGACTTGCAGTATAAAGAATCTATAAATGTAGCAGGTATATTCAGTTGGTTCTTTGTGCTGTCTGCATGTTGGTGCAATTGTGTTAGCTTGGCTTTGAATGCTTGTATCTGTTAGTGATCATAGACCATATAGGTAGTGCATTTGTGTATGAGAGGAAGTGTGTGAATATATTTGTCTGTCTACTCTGAAAGTGTACTGTGCATCTCTCTGTCTACTCTGAAAGTGTACTGTGCATCTCTCTGTCTACTCTGAAAGTGTACTGTGCATCTCTCTGTCTACTGTGAAGAGGCCAGCAGTGACTGTAAAGATGCTAGTTGCCTCTTAAATGACACTGTGGCTGAATGGCAGCTGTCAAAACAATGGTAGAGACAGTAAAAAAATAAATACATTGACAAATCTGCATCAGTCATTGTAAGAGACAGTCAAGACACTAGGAGAATCTTGAACAAAAACTTCATTGTAAAATCATTTTTCCTTCAAGGAGTTTGTGCATTTCTTATTACATAATTCCATATTTAAAATATGACATTGCTCCATTAATTCCCAGTCTGATTAAGGCATCACATCAATTCCAATTCAACTGAAAGCATGTAAATAATTGCCCTCCATGACTGGATGCATGTTTTGATCATTGCATTAGATCTCTTAGGATTTGTTCTATGCTGTAGAAATGCATAAGTTCCCAACTAACATGGAACATAGCTCAGTGTTCAGTCTTTGGTGATTTTGGTGTCTTTCTTTTGAAGCTGTCTTGCATGGTTGCATTGTGATGTACTGTACTGTACCATATATATTCCTACCTATTTAATATATATATTGTTAAATTCCTGGTTCTCAAATGCACTTCTCTTGTGTACTTCATTTGCCTGAAGCATGCATGTTGCTGTCATTTTACTCTAGTACAGTTTTATAAGCATTTATAGTTTCAGTTTCAGTGTTGGCTCTAAAGTGAACAGAAAGAAATGTTTGAAACTGTTACGTATATTTTGTTTGCAAATGATTTGAGTGTAGACAATTTTCACTGTTCCCTTTACCACGTTTTACTGAAACCAATTTTATAAAGAAAACGGAATGAAAATTGTGTATTCAAATCCTTTAAAAAACAAATATACCTACCGTAAAATGGGGTAACTTTGACCACTTTTTTTCAAAATGATGCCATTTTTTACTAGACAAGTTAAACTTGAATTGAAACCTGCAAAATACAGGTCTATACTCCAGCTTTACTCACCATAAATTGCTGGCTCCTGCCTCTCATAGTTTTGATGTAATTTCAAAAAAAGTTATGGTCTTTGTTACCCCAGCTCTTGGGGTTTCTTTGACCGGGTGGTAAAATCAATTTTATTTTTTCGTAAAATAACTCCAAATAACTTCAGGTTGTGGTGCATTGTAGAAGAACTCTTCTAGTTACATATGCAAAAGACAAAGTTTAGGAAAGTGTCATAGTTTGCAATTGGGGGGGCGCCCCCCCTCCCAATGGGCGAAATGTGACCACCTAATGGCAGCCGTGATGGGGTAACATTGACCGGTTTGGAAATTAAGTTAAAATTACCATATATAAGACTCTGTAGAGTCTGAAACACGGTTTGGAAATTAAGTTAAAATTACCATATATAAGACTCTGTAGAGTCTGAAACATAAAGAAAGAAACATTAACAGGTGTATCAAAAATAAAATATTTTATATAGGTACCTATGGTAATTTTAACTTAATTTCCAAGCTGGTCAATGTTACCCTGTCACGGCTGCCATAAGGTGGTCAAACTTCCCCCATTGGGGGGCGGCGCCTCCCATTTGCAAACTATGGCACTTTCCTAAAATTTGTCTTTAGCATATGTAACTAGAAGAGTTCTACTACAATGCATCAAAACCTGGAGTTATTTTACCAAAAAATAAAAAAAAATTGGAGGGGGTACTCCAACAGGCTTTAAATAATAGCTCTTTTTCATGGGTCACATTTTTTATTTTTTAACCTATTAGATATGCAAACTTTTTAAATCTTTCTATTGTGTTACGTAGCCTCAGTATTAGGCCTTTGATGGCCATTGACAAAATTTTTAAAATAGTTTTTGAGTTGGGGGTTTTTGTTAAAACAAGAACAAAAAGTGGTCAAAAAAACAAAAATTAAAAAAAAACAAAAATTATTTGACAAAAGTATGTCAAATAGTTTTTGAGTTTTGGGGGTTTTTGTTAAAACAAAAACAAAAAGTGGTCAAAGTTACCCCACCGGTCAATGTAACCCCATTTTACAGTAGGTACATAACATATATTATACTATGATAGGTATACAATACATAAATAATTGTCTTTATTTTCATTATTTTTTTTATCTTGTCATTGTTTGCCCCCTCCCATTGTTTCTGTAGCTCCTAACAGCACGTATGTATCCTTAAATTGTATTATTTATTTATTGCAATATTTTTATTAAGGTCTTAATACAAGCTGTTCTGTGGGATTTAGCCGTGCTGGAATATGTGAAACCTCCAAACATATGCATGATACCCAAACATACCTATGCATGATACCTGAACATGTGCATGGTGCATGTATGATTCTTTCTTAACATGTTAAGTGTGGCTATGTTATATTTAGTGCATAGTATTTCATACCTGTGGTACAAGTCACTAGTGGCTAGTGGCTAGTGCAGCACTTAACATGTTTACATTTTTTTTTTGTAATTTGCTTGTGGCTCATCACGGTTTTTAGTCAAATGTAAACCTTGTTTCTTTAATACCAAACAACTTGAAGCATTTACATTGTACAGATTGCAAGAATTTGTGCTGTTGCTGAAGGCTGGGGCTTTAATTGTGGCAATTTTGAGTGAGGAAGCGGAAGAAAGTTAAGCCTGGTGGCCTATGTATAAAGGTTTCTGTCGTTATTGTTTCACACCCTAATAACATACAGTTGATTTCTTTAGGTCAATTCTACCTGGGGTTTTTTGCTCATCCAATAAGTTGAGAAATGTTTATTTTTGCCCTCGTGATGTTCTTGGGTCAGCAATGGTTGTTAATTTCAACTTTCCTTTTCAGCATTTAAATTTTCCTGTGTAATTTACAGTTTTACACCCACTGTATTATTGTACCGGTATTTTGCATGCTTAAACTGAATTGTGTTATATTTAAGCAATGAGTAACACTAATCTATTAGTCTATTTATACATGATTATCTGTGGTGGAATATATTAATGATAGTGATAGAATGATTAATTGGTAAGACATTTGTGGTTCTTAAAATGTCCAGTGATTGTTGGGGACGAGTCAGATAGATGCATTGGAGCACTATGTATTTAAGGTTTAAAATTTAAAAAATAATTTTATGGAGGAATGTCAACTAGACACTGTGCCTCATATTTATGGTGTTGTTCCCCATTGTAACTTTAAGCTTGCATTGAAAATCATCTCTTGGAAAAGGTCAAACGTGATCAAGATTATTTGAAAGATTATTATAAATATTTGCAAGCTGAGATGATATTTCTAATGCAGTGCAATGATGGTAATATTCCTATGTTTTTGCTCAATTTCTGGTAAGTCATTCTATGTGGAGTAGATTGGTACCATATTCATATTTGTGAGTCTGCTGCACAGGATTTGTACTCGTAGCATATGTACTCTGGGCAAGCTATAGTATGTGCTGTCATTTTTCTCCCTGGATATGCTGAAGCATTTCTTCTTGACAATTATGTCCATTAAATCTATCTCCATAACTTAGTTAAAGAGTAATGTGTTGATCTTAAGCAGATTATTATTATTCTATGTAAATTCAGAGTGTTGCTGATATGTGTTTTTCACTTGGTGCACAGTAATCTCGTGTGTTATATATATCATGGTCAATTTGCATTATTCCCCACTTGGGATCTTCATATTTGATCAATTACATGGATGCTCCATGAATTGTTTTGTTATAATTTTTATACAGTAGGTATATATAAATGAAGCAGCTTCCTGACTATGCTTTCATGATCCAGCTTTGAATATTTGTGTCTAATAAATTTTATGTAATTGTTTCTGCTATTTGATAAATATGCGTAGCAATCCTCATTTTCTTTGGTGGTGATTTCGTTTTATTATCAAATAATGGACTAGTTATGTGTTAGTTAGGTGTGTGTTGTGACAGCAATAGTGATGACAAACTGTACCCTGTTGGTGCATAGCGTGACGGCTGTGCTGGCAATCTGGATGGAGGCTCCGTTAGCCTCACACAGAACCTGCTGCCTGATGAGGCCAAGGGACCTATCCAGCTGGGGTGAGTGTTAGGGTATCATGCATAACCTGCTGCCTGATGAGGCCAAGGGACCTATCCAGCTGGGGTGAGTGTTAGGGTATCATGCTTAACCTGCTGCCTGATGAGGCCAAGGGACCTATCCAGCTGGGGTGAGTGTTAGGGTATCATGCCTAACCTGCTGCCTGATGAGGCCAAGGGACCTATCCCGCTGGGGTGAGTGTTAGGGTATCATGCTTAACCTAATTTAAACAAGGTATGCATAATATCAAGTCAGTGCCACCTAAAATGATTGCACCCAATCTGAGCAAGAGGGAAAAAGGGGACTTAGATTTAATAAAATGGCTTATAATCGCTGAAGGGAATTTAGCTTCTCTGTAAAATTATGGTGCAAAAAACTAAATTAAGTAATTAACTGAGAAACCTTAATATTGGAATGAACGTTCTACACGTGTGATGAATTCAGTTGACCAAAATGTGCAAATAATTTTAATATGACTGAAGTGGTAGTTATGAGTGCAAAAATGGAACTTTATGCACAAAAATGGAACTTATCACACTTTATCAATCTCTTAATGTTCTTCAATCAATTAATCTTTAACTCTTGCTTCATATTTTGCAATGCGGCTTTTTGAGGATTATGAAAAAATGCATCCTCTAAAGTTATATTTGTGATGCTGGTATAGTATAATAAACTTATTCAACTGGTTATTTCTTTAGAGAAAATTAAGATTCCATTCATGTGGCAGATTTGTCCATTTATTAAATGTTCAATTATTTCTCATGAAATAACTTTGAAAAGCAAAAGTTTATGTTGCCAATGTTTCCAAAATTGTGCAAACTTTGAAAAAGTAAATTGAATGTTAAGCTATGCTGCTGTAGATGGAATGGTAGTGGCCAGGAAGCATAATAGGTGATGCTGTTGCTGCTGCCTTATGTTCTCTTGTGTGGCAAAGCTTCGTTAAGAGTCCTACTCCATAATATGTATACATACCTATGTGTGATATTGAAATGATTGAATTCTTTATTTTATTTATTTTAAATTATATATATTTGTAACAGTTATCATCCCACATTTAAAACTGACGATTTTGTTCATTTATTCATTGTCAGCTTTAATAAAAGTATTCAAATGCTCGAAATTGTTTCAGATGTGTGCAGAGTTTGTGAAATTGCTATCATTTCCCTGTTTTTATCTAACTCTGGTGTTCTGGTTTTGTCACGTTCTTGTTTACGTGCAACTGCTGCTATATACTAACCTTGAAATGGCTTCTTCTCTGTTGCTTTTTTGTTGCTTAAATCTGCTGTGCTAATTTTAATGTCAGTTACTTACTCTGTTGACTCTTTATTTATTTCTGTTTGTGTTTGTATGGCATACTATGTTTTATGCAGTAACACCTACAAGAGATTGTGTGTTGATGCAAAATGTGGTGCAAGCCATACATGATTGTGAATATGGCTGTGTAATTTTCACCAGCCATTCAAGATTGTGTTTAATTGTGTGGTAATGCTCTTTAAACCATACATGCATGTGTGAATGATTGTGCGGCTAGGCAGTGTGTTGCTGTATGCCTGTTCGATGTATGCCAGACGAGAGTTCATAAGGACAGCCTGCTAGCATCTGTGCTGCGTTGCAATTTATAAAGATTTTGCTTCACAAGAAAATTTGTTGTCAAAATAATGAAATAATGAAGCACATTTAGTAACTTTTGAGCTCCACAGTTGCTGATGAGGTTGTACCTAATAAAATCATTGTAAACATTGTTATAAATGTGCAACTTGTGGGTTTCATACACATATAAATCTGATGCCCTAATATACAATTTATTTCTATAGTCACTTTATGCACTCTACATCAAAGTATGGAATACCAGTCAAACAGGATATGCACACACTAGTCATGCCCTTGCACACACCCAATCCATATGTAATAAAATGTACATATACCATACAACACTCTAAATCTGACCCACACCTTAGTTGTTTACATTACAGATTCATATGTAAGGTTGGAATATTGCTAACGTTTTATGCTCTTGGCATATGCATTACCTCGATTTAATTTTCTTTGTCTTGAACTGCCATTACTTTTTGTTTTAGAAACTTGCATATGTTGTGATTTAGGTTTTTATATTTCTGTCCCATGGCAAGTTTGATGAAATTTTTTTCAATTCAAGTTTTTAAATTGACTCATGCTATTATATCTCAGATAGATCTTGACTGCTTCACATGATATACCGGTATATTTTCCATATAAATTGTATTAGCAATGTCTAAAGTACGTATATCCCGCTAATGGTGATTACACAATGTTATTAATTTGAGATTTTAATATGATCAGCTACCAAATATTATAGCATGTTGCTGAATGTTAGTCATACAGAAAACTCAATGGCAATTATTTACAAAAATGTGACGTCTGCACTGAACATGTCAGGTTTGTGGCCGGTGTCATCCTGCGTGAGCGAGTGGCATCCTTTGAACGGATGCTGTGGAGAGCTTGCCGAGGGAATGTGTTTCTGCGTCAGGCACAAATTGAGGAGCCCCTTGAGGATCCTGCAACTGTAAGTTACTTACCATATTTATTCAATTTTTTCCCTTATATATTGATAAAATTTTTGTAATTGTCGCCTGGTAAAATTATATGAGTTAGGCAAATGTACCTCTGCAATAAATATTCATTGGTTTGTGAAATTATATTAGAGGGGAATTTTGTTAGGTATTATCAGGATCATTAGGCATGGAAGAAAAAGGTTTAAATTGAAAATTCAGAATATTTATTCATACTTAAGGTAAATTTCTATTTTCAATTAACTTTGATTTATGTTCATATGACAAAAAATGATCTGCCTTCAAACTTTAAAAGGTACGTACTGCAGTAGCCAGTGCATGTTGTTGGATGTTGTTACTTCAGTGTAAGAAGTTTTGTTATTGCTGGAGAAATAATCAGATGAGAGATTTCAAATGTTGTGAAGTTTCTATCACAAGAAATTCCGGAATTGCTTACTGGTGTTCTGTGAGCTATGCACATAATAGAGACATTGAAACTTCATTGTCCAGCATCATCTTAAAACATCATATATAATCACATCAATATACAGGGTGAACCAGAATTAACTGACCCTTTTAATTTGTTAATAAATAAAAAACTAACAACGTTATGAAGTTGAAACTTGTTTTATTTAAAAGAAGAATATTTTTATGGTAATATTGTATCCTAGTTAAAATATTGTATCCTAGTTAAAATATTGTATCCTATTACAATATTTTATTATTGTATTAGTTAAAATATTTATTATGTATTAATAATATGTATTAGTTAAAATATTGTATGTAATATTGTATCCTAGTTAGTTATTGTATCCTAAAAACTAGGATACAATATTACCATAAAAATGTTCTTCTTTTAAATAAAACAAGTTTTAACTTGATAACGTTGTTAGTTTTTTATTTATTAACAAATTAAAAGGGTCAGTTAATTCTGGTTCACCCTGTACATCACCTAACATCGCAATACTGTGCAGGGAGAACAGGTCTACAAGAGTGTCTTCATCATCCAGCATCACCATGATACATCACCCAACATCACCTAACCTCACCTCCGTACTGTGCAGGGAGAACAAGTCTACAAGAGCATGTTCATCATCTAGCATCACCTAACATTACCGTACCTAATGTCTCCTCCGTACTGTGCAGGGAGAGCAGGTCTACAAGAGCGTGTTCATCATCTAGCATCACCATGATAAATCACCCATCATTACCTAACCTCACCTCCGTACTGTGCAGGGAGAGCAGGTCTACAAGAGCGTGTTCATCATCTAGCATCACCATGATACATCACCTACCATTACCTAATCTCTCCTCCGTACTGTGCAGGGCGAGCAGGTCTACAAGAGCGTGTTCATCATCTAGCATCACCATGATACATCACCTACCATTACCTAACCTCACCTCCGTACTGTGCAGGGAGAACTAGTCTACAAGAGCGTCTTCATCATCAAGCATCACCATGATACATCACCTACCATTACCTAATCTCTCCTCCGTACTGTGCAGGGCGAGCAGGTCTACAAGAGTGTCTTCATCATCTTCTTCCAAGGGGAGCAGCTGAAGCTGCGCGTCAAGAAGATCTGCGAGGGCTTCCGTGCCACTATGTACCCCTGCCCTGAGGCGCCCGCCGACCGCAGGGAGATGGCCATGGGTGTCAAGACTCGCCTTGATGACCTCAACACCGTAAGTTGCTTCGGGTTATTTTTAGCGCATTTTCTCATTTATGGAATAAATGCATCATTGTGCTCGCCACGTCCGTCCGTCCGTCCGTCTGTCTCTCCGTCCGTGACTTCACGTTTTCGTCGACGAGAAATGCTCTCTGTCACTCACAGCAGTGAGTACTGAGTTATATTTTCTTTATTTAGCTATAATCGAACGCTAATTACAGAGCTTGTATACATGCCCTAGCTATCAGTTAACATGACTTTCATGCTCCTACCTCATCAGTTTTTTTCCGTTGTTTGAATATTGGTGATTATTAAATGTCAATTACAATGCATCGGTACTCACAGACCATAGTTATTACACATCCTGCCCTGAAGGGGTTTGATCTGAGAACCATCTGTTATTGTAAGTTTGTAAGCATTAATTGCACAGCCTTTACACCTACTAGTACGTACCGCTGTGATATGACCTTGTAATGAGTCTTGGACTTCGTAGTCCACAGTCAAGCTGATGCGCCGCCTTCGTCGTCCTCCGTCTCCGAGTCGTCGCTAGGCAGGTCATCCCGCCCTCGGGTCCCGGATGTAACGTTGGACTATTTGCCCTCCTTTCAACCAGCTGATGCAAGATGCTGTTGCTTGTCACTTGCTGAGGGTAGTTTCTCATTGGACAATCTGGGATCTTTCTCAACCACTTGTCCAGTCGTCTCTTGAATGTTGCAAGGGTGAACTCCCCTCCTCTCAGCGCTTTTGGCAAGTCATTAAAGAGCCTCGATCCTACCACGGACGCTGACCCCTCGTGAAGAGTTTTTACTCTGGCCGCGGCTCGGTTATTAAATGGGGGAACCTCGCACAGTCTCCCTCTCCTTTCATTGTAACGTGTCATTATTCTGGAGGTCTCACTCTCAAAGTTGGGAGCCAGTCCGGTTATCATCTTCCAAGTGTACAGTATGATGACCGCCTTGAGTGGCGACCAAAGTTTTGCAGCAATACTCAAGATTGAGGAGCACGAGGGCTCTGAAGAGTGTAATCATTGGTGCTGCTTCTCTTGTTCAAAATGTCCGCCATATCCACCCCATCCGTTGCCGGCTGCGCGCGACTATTTCCTCGATATGGGCATCGAACGTGGCTTCAGTACTCATCAACACTCCGAGATCTCGAACTAGTTGCTTCTCCTCAATTTCTGTGCCATCTGATGCCAAATAACGATGTGGCATCCAGATCTCTGTGCGGACTCTGTATCTCATTACTTCGAACTTGGTGCCGTTGAACTGAATATTGTTCACTAGCCTCCAATCGTAGATTGACGATAGATCATCCTGTAATCTCTCGCAGTCTAGGTCATCTGTGATCCTCGTCAGCACTCCTGTATCGTCCGCAAATGACGATGTAGATGCGTGGGTGAGTTCCGAGTCAATATCGGCAATGTGGATGAGGAAGAGGATCGGTCCAAGCACTGAGCCCTGTGGAACTCCGCTTTTCACCTTCGCTTCTCTCGATTTCGAGTTTCCAATTGCGACAGCTTGTATTCTATCTGCAAGGAAGTTGTGGATCCACCTCAACAGGCTTCCTTCTACCTCCAACAGCCTCAGCTTTCTAAAGAGCATCCCATGGTCAACTTTGTCAAAAGCTTTAGCAAAGTCCAGGTATACCACGTCCACGCCAGCTCCCTCTTTCAGCTGGGCCACTAGACGGTGATGGTGCTCCAGTAACTGTGACAAACAGGCACGATTACGCCGGAAACCATGTTGTCCGTTATTATACAGGTCAGCCTCTTCCATATACCAGACAAGCCTCTTGGCCACTACATTCTCAAAAACCTCGATCACATGTGAGGTCAAGGTCACAGGTCTGTAATTTTGCGGTCTGTCCCTCGCACCTCCTTTGTGGATTGGCGTTATCAGTCCTACTTTCAGACCCTCAGAGATAATTCCCTCCATCGTCAAGGCTTCCCATATCATTGTGAGCGGAGCCTTCAGTGCTCCAACACCCTTCTTTAACAGCACTGCCGGAATTCCATCGGGCCCTGGTGCTGAGAACGTAGCTAATTCTTTGATACTTATTTCCATATCTTCTGGCCCAAACTCAATGTTTTCCAACCCCCTTCCTCCTGGTAGTTCCTGGAGAACTTCGATTTCATTCTCCTCCCTTGAGTAGCGGGGGTTACTGAAGACTGATTCAAACAGCGATCCCAGTAGCTCACACATACCCTGGTCATCTCCGACAAGGACATCGTTATCCTTCAGCGGGCCCAGTGGCGTCTGTATTTTAGCCTTGGACTGGGCGTATTTGAAAATATGTACTTTGGGTTTTCTCTGATTACCTCCACTATTCGTTCCTCGGCAGCTTGTTCTTCTATCTTATGCGAGTCCTGCAACCTGAGTTCAATTTCATTGTGCAAATCTACTAGTCTCTGTCTCCTCTGATCACTAGTGGATTCAGCTATTTGTATATTCAAACGTGTGCGTTTTCTCATAAGGATTCGTCGGTCTCCCGGAAAGCTGCGGACTTTGGGTCCTCGGGGTATGACGCACACATACCTGTGCTAATTTATTACAAAGTTTTGTGTAGGTTTCCTCTGCATTCATATCGTGAAACTCCGTTCTCCAGTCAGTTTCGTCAAGTTCATTCCATATTGCCTCCCAATCTGTTCTTCGATGGTGAAAGTTGAGTCATGCCAGTCCATCTTGGGGTATAGCCCTGGGCTGGGTATCGGCTCCAATGGTCGTATCCACCCTCACCAGTCGGTGGTCTGACAGTGAGGTTTCTTCAACCCGAACGTCAACCACCATTCTTTCATTATCTGTAAAGAAGAGATCGAGGATATTTCGTTCCCTTGTCGGCAACCGTACCTGCTGACTGAGCAAGTGTTCCGCAGCGAACTTCACTAGTTTTGTTTCTTGGCTTCTGTCGCGGTCACCAACCTCTACGTCGCCCGGACTTGTCCATCGGATACGTGGGAGATTGAAGTCTACCCCCATTATCAGGCTGGGGGCTGGTTCACCCAGTTCAGCTACCCTGGTTTCTATTTCCTCCAGTGTTTTGTTAAAATTTTCCGATGGGCAAGCAGGCGGCCTATAGACTATGACTACGCATGTGAATAAATGGTGAATTAAGTTGCATTTTTTTGCTTCTAAAGTATTAGTACACTTGCAATTTAGGCAGGCTAATGAGTGCCTGTCGGCATCTATGTAATTATTTTATGTTCTATATATATTTTCACTACCTACTGATTGTGCTTGTATTCTATACATTTTATGAAATGATGTTAGAGCTCTTCTCCAAAAAGTTTTTATTGAAGGTGTGCTGAATTCAATTTACATTTTCTCTTCTTTTCAATTATTTCATTTCAGGTGCTAAGCCAGACGCAGGACCACAGACACCGCGTGTTGGTGTCGGCAGCTCGTAACTTGCGGTCGTGGATGTTGAAGGTGTGGAAGATCAAGGCGATATATCACAGCCTCAACATGTTCAACATCGACACCATCCAGAACGGCCTCATTGCCGAGTGCTGGATTCCTGTGCCTGACTTGGAGACCGTCCAGCTCGCACTGCGTCGTGGCACTGTTAGTGTCTTATGATACTTGAGTCGCTACTACACTAATGTCGCCAGCCTTCAATTGAAACGATTTATTTGATGTCAATGCCACTTGAGTCGCCACAACACTTATGTTGCCAGCTTTCAATAGAAACAATCTATGTAACGTCAATGCCACTTGAGCTGCCATAGCACTTTTGTTGTCAGCCTTCAATTTAAGCGTTTTTTAACGTCAATGCCACTTAGGTTGCCACAACACTAATGTCGCCAGCCTGCAATTCAAACGATTCATTTATCGCCAATGCCACTTTAGTCGCCACAACACTTATGTTGCCAACTTTCAATAGAAACAATCTATTTTAGAACGAAAACTCAACCCCATGTTTCCAGCGAGATCAAAGGAGCTTTAATTATATATAGTTATCCTGTGGTAATATAACCTTAAAAATCGTAGTTTCGACCAGTATAATACAGTTTTCATGGATTAGCGGCGAGATAAGTGCAGTGGCGACTCTTGTGTTGTTGACTGGGGCTCCTCTTACCGCATTATTTTTCCCACCTTTTTTCCATTCACCATTGGTTCTCTCTCTTTTATTCCAAGGTTCCATTCATCTCGTGCGCCAATTCTTTTACATTTCATATGTATATATTTTCTAATATTACCCAGTTTTTTTAGTTGTCTAATGCTATTTTGATCTATTACTCTGGAAACTGTACATTTTGCCCAATATTACATCCTCTTACCGTCGCATATTCATGCCTTGCTTCGCTTTGTCCCGAAGTGACAAGTGTTTACATTCTATGTTTAGTAGATTTGGTATATTCCCGAATACTGAAATCGCCGAGGCCTCACTCTTATACGTGCATTTTCATTCCCAGTTATAAGCCTAAGCTTCCTGAAAGCTACATAATGTCAAATCGGGAGCATGAAATATCCATAACACATAATAATAATAATAATGTGTTACGATTTTTTTCTGTTGTACTGACTGCTGCTTTACTAGCTCTTCGTAATATCTCACTGACGTACAAGTGTACCGATTCCTTTAAATGTTCTGCATTGTACTGCAGGAAAAAAGCGGGTCTCTGCCAGCCATCCTGAATCGCCTGTCGTGCGTCGAGTCGCCGCCAACGTTCCATCGCACCAACAAATTCACGCGCGCCTTCCAGGGCTTGATCGACTCGTACGGTGTGGCCTCGTACAGGGAAATGAACCCTGCGGTCTACACCATCATCACCTTCCCCTTCCTCTTCGCCATCATGTTTGGTGACCTCGGCCACGGCATCATCATGACTCTCTTCGGCGCCTGGATGGTATGGAAGGAGAAGCCTCTCTCGGTCAAGAAAGTCGACAGTGAGATCTGGAACATCTTTTTTGGGGGGCGGTACATCATCCTGCTGATGGGGACATTCTCCATGTACACGGGCATCATCTACAACGACGTCTTCTCCAAGTCCTTGAACTTGTTTGGCTCGAGCTGGCATGTGCCTTTTAATGAGTCAACCATAAGGGACAACAGGGAGATCATGCTCGATCCTAAGCAACCTGATCAGTACGAAGGGACTCCTTATCCTATCGGCCTGGACCCGCTGTGGCAGCTCGCTGCCAACAAGATCAACTTCCTCAACTCCTACAAGATGAAAATTAGCATCATCTTCGGCATTGTGCACATGATGTTCGGCATCATACTAAGCTTGTGGAACCACAGGCGAGTCATTCTCCTATAAATTTTGCTTATGTTTTAATATACACGACGTCTTTAGGCTTTTCTGAATGCTTGTAAGTCTCCTGCATCTGTTTATAATCTTTTATTTTAACACTCGTGCTAGAATTCGTGTAAGAATTTCTGTGTGCAAAAAGAAAGTTTTTTATTCAAACAAATGTGATCAATGACGTGTACATGAAGGCGTGAGAAAATATTTTCTGTTAGTGCAGGAAAGGGTAAAATACAATCCATTGTGAATACGTTCTAGAAATTTGTGTTGTTCAGTGTTGATCGCTACAAATCTGAAATGCTGGAGTGAAATTTTTTATAGTTTTTTATTTTGTCATCTCTAATTTTCTCCTTTATGCTTGGTACCCAAGGTTTTCTTGACATCTTTTGTTAGATTTTTAAAGATGAAGCCCACTTAATTGAGATTTATGTAGATTGTATTTGACCTTCTTCTAATCTGAAGTCGCCACGCAGTACACAGCTTCTCTATTGAATTTTTGTCTTGCAGGTTTAATTGAACATTCTTCTAATTTGTACTCACCATACAGTACAGCTTATTTATTAAATTTTTGTCTCGCAGGTTCTTCAATCGTCGACTGAACGTGCTGTGTGAGTTCATCCCTCAAGTGCTGTTCATGTCGTGCCTGTTCGTGTACCTCACGCTGCTGGTGTTCATCAAGTGGGTCAACTACGGTGCAGGTGAAGACGTGCCACTCGTCCTGACGCCAGGCTGTGCCCCCAGCATCCTTATCACCTTCATCAACATGGTCCTCATGAAAGGCTATGAAGAGGCCAAGGGACCTAACTCGTGCTCGGCCTACATGTACGACGGCCAGTTCTACCTCCAGAGGATGATGGTGGTTGTGGCGGTTATTTGCGTACCTTGGATGCTGGTGGCGAAGCCTTACTTCCTTTATAGGGCAAGTAAGCAGCGCGCCATGTTGGGCACCGGAGGCGTTGAGGGCGCAATGGAAGAGACTCCATCGACCATGCCTGTTCAGCCAGCCGAGGACCACGACATGAGTGAGATTCTCATCCATCAAGGCATCCACACCATCGAGTTTGTGCTGGGCTCTGTGTCGCACACGGCCTCTTACCTTCGTCTCTGGGCCTTGTCTCTTGCTCATGCCCAGCTCTCTGAGGTGCTCTGGGGTATGGTACTCAGGATCGGGCTTTCTACCGCCGGAACCACGGGTGGCTTTGCTATGTACTTCATCTTCGCTGCGTGGGCTACGTTGACGGTTGTAATCCTGGTGCTAATGGAAGGCCTCTCCGCCTTCCTTCACACACTCAGGCTTCACTGGGTCGAGTTCCAGAGCAAGTTCTACGAAGGCCAGGGCTACGCGTTTGTTCCTTTCTCCTTCGATTCCATTCTTGAGGCTAATGAAAGTACCGTCACTGAGGCGAAGTAAATCCAAGTGAACTTCTCGTTCGAACCGTAATGTTAGATCAAGCTTGGAATTGTTACCCTATTGCGTTGGGGTATACATATTGATGAATTTAGCTATCGTCTTGTTGTTCAGATTATTTCCTCCTATATGGCACTGAATAGCTTATGATCAACTTAAGATTCGTGTTCTTATGTCAAATTTTATAGTGTAGGAATCACTAATGTGTTCATTGAATTAGACGAATATTGCATGTTTCGAACATGAAAGTATTGTAGTTGTCTCGTACCTACTGTAATCTCTATAACCAAATGTACTAGCTGTCTATTCATTGTTAGTGTAACACTTCGTAGCGAGAGACAGCTTCGTCCTCTCTTATCGTAGCATCTCTCCATTGCCTCCACTCAGAACATCGCTTGTCGTTTCGGGTTGTTATGAAGGATTACCTGCATGTTCCTGAGTTGCGTTGTCAAATAATGACTCGTGTTGATCTTGTGAGGAAAGTTCATTGATTGCAAAAATAATGATTTTATCTTCTGCTTTTTTTAGTTTTAGTTAGCGTTTTGGAGTCTTGTATGATCTGGTAGAGCATTGATTGTTACAACTTTAGCCTGCAATCCAAATACAGCGGCTTCTCTTACTATATCTGCACACGGTATATATATAATATGTCTTCAGATAAAATAATATTTTTGTAGACGGGATAATATTCCTGCGGAATTACTTATTAGATTTTCTGTTGTTTTCTGTCCTATTAGATTTTGCTCTGTTTTGTCGCGTTTCCTCGCTGTGTTCACCAATTGTCTTCTATACACAACAGTCGTGTACGCTGTGTTATGTGTACAATTTATGACCAGAGAGTGCATTTGAATTTTCAAGGAGTTGAACAATTCTTAGATGACGTTGGTAGATCAAAAGGCAGATTTAGCAAATAATAATATATTAACGACGTTTCGAATGTAGCAACATTCATTTTCAAGTTAAGAAAAGCATTGAATAGTGAAATTTGGTTGGGCATAAGTACATAATACACGTAAATAGGATACAACACAAAAATTTCGAGCCAGAAAGTCCTTACGCAAAAAATCTCAAATTTTATTTTAGACAAATCCGGTAGCTTGGAAATCGATAGCTGGGGTCCAATTCAAAATTAAGACGGTTCCAGCAATCGTTGGTCGATTAATGTTGTGCACCTCCGCATGATGACGCTGGTGGGTTTCTCCAGCACGGTGCGATGATCTACCAACGATGATTGATCTACCAACGTCATCTAAGAATTGTTCAACTCCTTGAAAATTCAAATGCACTCTCTGATCATAAATTGTACGCATATAATCAAGAAATTTCTGCCATCTTATAATAATTGCTGTGTTATGTATGAATGTATTCTCTACATGGCATCATACAAGGAGTTCGTGCTTATAGCTATATATATTACTTAAACCTCGATAAAGAAGGTGTAGTATTATTAATAAGGCTTATTATGACCGCTCGTGTTGCGCTATTTAATGGAAAGATTTGCTGGTTTTGTTTTATTTAAAATTTTTGTTTCAAAGAAATGCCTACGTTATTTAGTGAACGGATTTTTTGGGCTTGATTGCTGGTGTTGCATTATCAATAGATGAATTTCTGGGGTTGACTGCTGGTGTTGCATTATTAATAGATGAATTTCTGCTGTTTACCCCCGGCGTTGCATTATTAATAGATGAATTTCTGGGGGTTGACTGCTGGTGTTGCATTATTAATAGATGAATTTCTGGGGGTTGACTGCTGGTGTTGCATTATTAATAGATGAATTTCTGGGGGTTGTTGTTGTTGTTGTTGTTGTAATTGCCCATCCTGGTAGTGGCGACTAGGGAGGGGGGTGATAGGTCAGTTTTTCCGGGCACTTTAATGCCACTGGTAGTTCTACGACCATCACTGGCTCGCTGACCCGCCAGAACCATTTTATTGCATTACACAACACCCTGGACAAGCCAGGTACTCATTTATCAACCAGAGTTGGATGAATGGCTGAGTTGACCATGAGCTGAGCTTCCCGGAAGAACTTGTCCTCAGTGGGACTCGAACCCGGGAGCTGGGTGCGAGAGACAGAGTCTCTCACCACTGCACCACTACAGCTTCTGGTGCACTACAGCAATTTCTGGGGGTTGACTGCTGGTGTTGCATTGTTAATAGATGAATTTTGGGGGTTTACCGCCGGTGTCGCATTGTTAATAGATGAATTTCTGGGGTTTACCGCTGGTGTTGCATTTTTAAATGGACGGTTTGCTGGTATGTTATGCGCTTCATGTTGCTTGCTCTCTCGCGCTCTCCTATGTTGGAAATTCTCCAACAGTTCAAATAACGACTTATTTATGATCAGCTTTATTGTTATTGAATGATTTCTTCTAGAAATACGCCCATGAATTTATCGCTGTTGCGCTGTTATGTCAGGACGTTTAATGTACGTATGTATTGTAGTTCATTAAAGTTCAGTCCCTGCAGTGCCGTTTTATTTCACGAGTCGGCCCCATCGCAATAATAAATACAATAACACTCAATCGCTTATTTTTGAACTGTATTTGTATGTTGGAAGATCTTCGAGCGGCTGTCGTGGGAGGGGCACTTGAGTGGTGACTAGAATGAGTGTTCGTTTCTTATAGGAAATATGACTGAATACCTTGTATATTTTGTCTGATCTTGAACCTTCGTCTATGGAGACATTATTCGCTGTCGCCGTTAAGGCTGTTGGGTTCCAAGTAAAGAAATATACCGTTAGTGGACGGGTTGATGACGTGTCACTGTGATATTTAACGACTCTCCCAGGGTGCTAAGTTGGATCAATAGCCAAGTTTGAGCTACCATAATTTGGAACTGGAGCAGAAGCGCCTAAGTTCATATTAATCTCAAATTTGAAAACAGTTCCTTTAAAGAAAGTTCAATGCCTGTTACTCTCCTTTAGTTGTTTTAAATTCCCTGAGAATCGCAAGCTACATTCCAATTTGCGACTAATTCGCAAAAGCTTGCCGGACGCGCCACGCAATCATTTGCTCCAGGTCAATCCATGACTTTTTCCAACACCCTACGACCGTCTGATGAAACAGAATTACAACAAAACTTATAAGCTTTCAACGCGTTTAGGAACGTCCCATGACGATCCTTCTATCTGACTTGAGCAGCCCCCCATTTATTACTGCAGTTTGCAACGACTAATGACTTCAAAATTTCAAAATAAAGTGGATCTACCTGTAATATTTTGTATATACTTCACCATTTTGAAGAAAATGAAGTACAAGTGAAGAATAGAAATGTATCAGGAACTTCTCATCTCCTTTGCCCGACACCACCAGCACCTTTCCGGACTCCTTAAGAAAAAGGGGACGATACCCCGGTATTTTTCAATTTCTTAATTTATTGACGTACCCCATCGAAACTTCACTCCATTTCGCATAGAAAATTTTTCTATGGATAACTTAAACTATTGATTTGATATTGTAAACTCCATAACGTATTTTTTATTGCTTCTGGTAGAAATAAATGTAGGTAAATATTACTTTTTAATCGATTGACAATAATCGCACGTTATCTTTCATTTAGATTTATTAAATAGAACCAAAATTTTCCCGATGATCATCAAGCCCAACACATGATATTATGTACTTATATTTCAAATTTGAATAAAATCCGTTCATAATTGAAGGAGTTATGAGTGCCACAGTTGAAAATGAAGTTAGGTTTTCCGTATTAACAAAAAAGTTATTGATGTAAAAATCTGAAAAAATTCCCCCCGCAAAATACTGATATTATCTACTTATCTTTCAAATTTGAATAAAATCCGTTCATAATTGAAGTAGTTATGAGTGCCACAGTTGAAATGAAGTTAGGTTTTGCATTCGAGTTCGCAGGCCAGTTCGCACGCGAGTTCGCTGAAGTGTCGAATCGGTTACAGCATGTCAGTATCTATGAACACTACATGGGCGAGGCCTTCGCCCTTACACATCAATTATTTATATAAAACTCTTTGGTCACTGAAACATTGGAAAACGCTTGAAGCTAAAATAAAAAAAAAACAAAATGGGATAAAACAGGAACAGAGATTTTTATGAAGCTTCAAATTGAAGGTTAGAGCTCCTGTCCACGCTTCTCTTGAACATGTAACATGGGCGTCCATTGAGACGCCATACGCTTTCATTCCATAAGTAGCAATGGAGGAAAATCATACAATAACGCCCTCTTTAGTGTTGAATTGCATTCACATTCATTATTTTAATTAATTGAACATTAATTCCTTTCTCGACTTGAATATTAAATATATACCTATTCAGTACTGAAACACAGAGTTATGGTTACAGTGTAATCTCTAAACAATTGTAATGCACAAGTGATTTCCTTATCGAGAAATGAGGATTCTTAAGCAACAAGTTTTTTGGTACACGAAATACAATATTCAAGAACATATTTTTCGTATTTGCCTGCGTAGCTATTTAACGCTTAATTCGACTCCTCAACGATTGCTTCTCTCACACCTTGCAGCTAAATGTAAAATTCGCGAATGTTGAACAACAATAGGTACGGCAAATGACATTGAATGTTGAATATATTACAAGGAGGGCTTCAAGTTCCTACTATTTAAATGGTTAAGGTTGAAATATTAATTTTCAAAGCTTGGACCCGCCAGAAGTTATTAAAGTCGACCCGAACGCCCCAAGCTACGCACCTGCTGATCTTTGGTCTTGCATATCACGCTCTCCTGTACACTTATAGTAAGTACAATATCATTGTTACATTTATTATGAATAACGCGGTTAAGTGGCTTAAAACTTTCTGAACGCCACAGGAACGCTGGGTTGATGGCTGGCACGCGACAGGTGTGCCACGTGGCTGAGTTGATGGCTGGCACGCGACAGGTGTGCCACGTGGCTGAGTTGATGGCTGGCACGCGACAGGTGTGCCACGTGGCTGAGTTGATGGCTGGCACGCGACATGTGTGCCACGTGGCTGAGTTGATGGCTGACACGCGACAGGTGTGCCACGTGGCAGAGTTGATGGCTGACACGCGACAGGTGTGCCACGTGGCTGAGTTGGTGGCACGCGACAGGTGTGCCACGTGGCTGAGTTGATGGCTGATACACGACAGGTTTGCCACGTGGCTGGGTTTGTGGCTGACAGCATGGCAGGAGTGAATTGTGTGGCAGCAGCATACGTTTTTACTTTACAATGTCCCTGAATGTTTTGAATCATTTCTCCACCATATGCTATTAATCATTTCTCCACCAGCAATCAGCGCAGTTGGGATGCCGAAACCCGCTCCTCAAGGATCAGTGGTCCCTGCTCAGATAGATTAATTTTCAAAACCATTCACCGTTGATTATATATGCGCATCATTTATAAGTTTTAAGGAGCATTGAACATTTTTCCATTAAAAAGGTTAGCTGTAGCCAAGTATCTTACAATAGTGAGTTCAAAGAAGCCATCTTGGTTAAAATTTGTTATTTAACCATGTTTTACCGAAATTAAACGATTCACACCAGAATCTTCCGAATGAATATTTCGTGTCTCTATGTTGTTGGATCAAACATAATTATTTTTTCCTCAATATCTTTAATTTTATTAATTAAAGATATGATGCTCCCACAAACTGGGGGACCAACTCACCCTGAAGCTTTGATGCTCCCACAAACTGGGGGACCAACTCACCCTGAAGCTTTGATGCTCCCACAAACTGGGGGACTAACTCACCCTGAAGCTTTGATGCTCCCACAAACTGGGGGACCAACTCACCCTGAAGCTTTGATGCTCCCACAAACTGGGGGACTAACTCACCCTGAAGCTTTGATGCTCCCACAAACTGGGGGACCAACTCACCCTGAAGCTTTGATGCTCCCACAAACTGGGGGACCAACTCACCCTGAAGCTTTGATGCTCCCACAAACTGGGGGACTAACTCACCCTGAAGCTTTGATGCTCCCACAAACTGGGGGACTAACTCACCCTGAAGCTTTGATGCTGCCACAAACTGGGGGACCAACTCACCCTGAAGCTTTGATGCTGCCACAAACTGGGGGACCAACTCACCCTGAAGCTTTGATGCAACCACAAACTGGGGGACTAACTCACCCTGAAGCTTTGATGCAACCACTAACTGAGGGACTAACTCACCCTGAAGCTTTGATGCACTCACTAACTGGGGGACTAACTCACCCTGAAGTGTCAGGGGAAGCGCTCTCTCCCCTTGAAGTCTCCCTGGACTGAGATGTGGAAGACGGACTGGCATAGCTTGAGGAGGTGTTAGGATAACCGATGCCGAAACTGGGATATCCTGATGCGGCGTTAGAATATCCTGCGTTAGAATTTCCTGGTGTTGAGTTGGAATATCCTAGTACACCGCTAGAAAAACTAGACACTGGGCTGGAATATGCCAAAGCGGCGTCGGAATGCCCTTGTGGCGCCGTGGCGAGGGATGCCACAGAGGGGTTCGGTGCGTCAGCAGAGCGGCATAAGAATACCACATCTGTGGGGATGGTGGAGTGGGCTGGGGCTTCCCGTGTGTGAGGGGAATGTTGTGGGGAAGATTTGCTGTACTTATGAGGAGGAGAGGAAGTGGAGCGGTCAGGTGAAGGGGAATTAAAGGTTCGGTCTTGCGAAGAAATGTTAGAGGATTGCGGGCGGTCGTTGTTAAGCAGGGGAGAGGCGGGAGGGTGTAAGGATGTCATGTTGTACAGAGCGTGCGGTGATACGGACGATAGACCTGTTCAAAAACAAAAAGATTGTTCGAAAATTAGTCGAAACACGTAAAGTTAACTAATATAATCTAAAGTTACTTACGTAACCCGATCAGCCCAGTGCCCTAAATTTCATGGCATGACCAAGTGCGTTGAACACAGGTGACATTATTTCACCACTCATTTAAAAAGCTAATTAAGTTATAGTTCATTTAAGAGTGATAGGAAAAGTCGTGTTTGCTTTATCGCTCACCTAAAGAGTTATGCATAAACGAAGGAGTTATTTTAGCGACATCAGAAGCAGGTTGATGATAGTCAGCCATGGTGGTGATGAGTCCACCCATCAGGCCCCCCACGGCGGCGAGCTGCGACAGCGCCGCGGCGGACGACGGGAACGGCGGCCCTCCGCCCCCCACCGACGCGTACATCGAACGCGGTAAACTGAGCAATAAGATATATGATAAGATAATAAGATATAATGTGATAATAACATGTTAGAAGATATCAGATTTAAAATAGATAATATGAATAAAATAAAACGGTATTATTAATATTGCATAAAACAGGGTTATTCTAAATGATGGACCCAATTTAATAAATTCGCATTTATTTAGTATAACTTCAAAATGAATAATTCGTCACCAATGGAAAGAGGAAGATTCAAAGGTTTCTTTTTGTAGATATTCATAAATATTCGATATGTTCCCCGTGTACTGTAGCTGGTAGAGGTGGGGCGTAAACAGAGTTGCTGGTAGAGGCGGGACGTAAACAGAGTTGCTGGTAGAGGCGGGGCGTAAACAGAGTTGCTGGTAGAGGCGGGACGTAAACAGAGTTGCTGGTAGAGGCGGGACGTAAACAGAGTTGCTGGTAGAGGCGGGACGTAAACAGAGTTGCTGGTAGAGGCGGGACGTAAAAGCTTCCTTGACGTAACCCCATAAGAAATAGTCACATGAGATCAAGTGATCTCGGTGGCCAGAAGTGTAGGGCCTGATCTTCCATTCTTATACGTCCTATCCAACGCTCAAACATCTAAACACTACAGTTTAGGTGTTTGCCGTGCAGCACAAATGGGGACACATTGAATATATTTGTACATGTAAAAAATTTTTTGATCTTTTGCTTTCCATATGCGCATAAAATATCCAATTTGAATGTTTACTCGAACAAATAAAAATTTATAAATTTTAGTCCATCATTTAGAACAACCCTGTATATTAGCATCAATGCGTATAAGACTTATTTTAACTTTGGTTATTTTATCGTCTGTGCATGAACACGCAGACAACCTAAGAATATGCATCAGAAAATCTTGTTCTCTGTGTAAATATGTTCCTTTATTGTTCTGGACGTTGCAGACCCAGGCACGCTTCGGTCACCATGCAGTTCTCAACAGGTCACAAATTCGGCTTACGAAAGCGAGGTGTTCAGTCCAAAATTGTACGAATTATTATCCTACTTCCTTCTTGCCTAACCCTTTGTCTATTGAAGGTAACGTTAGTAAGCCGGTCTTAGGTACGAATTGCATTAACTAAGGTTAATTAATTTAACCTCGGATAGTGGGATAAGAGAAACTTGAGGAATATAACCTGCGGTCACTGGAGCCTCCATCAAAGAAGATGGACAGAGACTTTCTCGGGAGCCTGACCATCACTATAGACATGGACAATATATGGACACGGAGTATTTCTGGACCCTGACCATCTCTGGACCCTGACCATCTCTGGACCCTGAGCATCTCTGGACCCTGAGCATCTCTGGACCCTGATCATCTCTGGACCCTGACCATCTCTGGACCCAGAGTCCCATAAATGCCACGTGGAGCTGAAACTAAGAACATAAATCGGACATCAAACGCGTCAGAGTTTTGTTGTTCAAACGAGCGCATCAACGAGACCTCTTAATGTGGCCGCTCGAAGCGTATGTTTGAATAAAGCGTACGTCTTCACGCACAGAGCGTATATACGAATAAAGCGTACGTCTTCACGCACAGAGCGTATATACGAATAAAGCGTACGTCTTCACGCACAAAGCGTATATCTGAATAAAGCGTACGTCTTCACGCACAAAGCGTATACACGAATAAAGCGAACGTCTTCACGCACAAAGCGTATACACGAATAAAGCTTACGTCTTCACGCATAGAGCGTATATACGAATAAAGCGTACGTCTTCGCGCACAAAGCGTATACACGAATAAAGCTTACGTCTTCACGCATAGAGCGTATATACGAATAAAGCGTACGTCTTCACGCACAAAGCGTATATATACGTATAAAGCGTACGTCTTCACGTACAAAGCGCTGTGCTTTATAAAACGTTTATACAAATAAGGCGGACGTATGCACGTGCAAAACGGACGCATGCATCCACGCACAAAGTGAACGTGTTCATACATAAGAGGATGCGGATGATCAACTTCTTACAGTCTCAACTCACTGTGTATATTTTACTGGCAATGCATTGTACCGGATACTCACGTTGTACATTGTACTCACGTTGTACATTGTACTCACGTTGTCATTGTACTCACGTTGTACATTGTACTCACGTTGTACATTGTACTCACGTTGTACATTGTACTCACGTTGTACGTTGCACTCACGTTGTACATTGTACTCACGTTGTACGTTGCACTCACGTTGTACATTGTACTCACGTTGTACATTGTACTCACGTTGTACATTGTACTCACGTTGTACATTGTACTCACGTTGTACATTGTACTCACGTTGTTCATTGTACTCACATTGTACTCAGATTTCACATTGTACTCACATGGCTCATTAATCACAACTTGAGTACGTGAAATACAGTAACTCGTGTGATGTGCTCACATGGCGCGTACTGCGCTCACTGAGCGTGTAATATCGCCATGACTTTATGCTCACGTTGCGAGCAGAGCGCTCACTGCTTCCTGCTCCCTGCGTTGCGCTCACTGTATAGCACTCCTGCGTTGCGCTCACATTTTGGCGCTCATTTTTCTGCGCTCACTTTTTTGTGCTCACTTTGTAGCGCTCACTGTGCTGCGATCACTATGCTGTGCTCACGGCGCTGTGCACCAATTTCCTTGTGCTCACTACTTTCTGCTCACTTCGTTGCGCTGAATGTGTTGTGCTCACGCTGAGCAGTGATCAGGCTAGCCGTAAGCCGTTCAAGTTATTTTAAATTATTTAGAAATAAAGCCGTACATTAATGGAGTAGAATTGTTTCGAATAAAGCCGTACATTAATGGAGTAGAATTGTTTCGAAATAAAGCCGTCCATTAATAGAGTAGAATTGTTTTTAAATAAAGCCGTACATTAATGGAGTAGAATTGTTTCGAATAAAGCTGTACATTAATGGAGTAGAATTGTTTTGAAATAAAGCCGTACATTAATGGAGTAGAATTGTTTTAAAATAAAGCCGTACATTAATGGAGTAGAATTGTTTCGAATAAAGCTGTACATTAATGGAGTAGAATTGTTTTAAAATAAAGCCGTACATTAATGGAGTAGAATTGTTTTGAATAAAGCCGTAAATTAATGGAGTAATATGTATGAATCTAATGTATGCTAGTACATTGGAGGAAATATGTGTAAAGCTAATGCATGCTAATGTATGGAAGTAATATGTGTATTCAGCTAATACATGCTAATGTATGGATGTAATATGCATGAAGCCAGTGCATGCTAAAGTATGAAGCTAATGCATGCTAATGTATGGATGTAATGAATGCTTATACATAGAGGTAATATGCATGAAGCTAATGCATGCTAATGTATGGAGGCAATGAATGCTTATACATAGAGGTAATATGTATGAAGCTAATGCATGCTAATGTATGGAGGCAATGTATGCTAATGTATGGATGTAATATGTACGAAACTAATGCATGCTAATGTATGGAGACAATGTATGCTAATGTATGGATGTAATATGTATGCAGCTAATGCAAGCTAATGTATGGATGTAATGAATGCTTATACATAGAGGTAATATGTATGAAGCCAGTGCATGGTAATGTATGGATGTAGTATGTATGCAGCTAATGCATGCTAATGTATGGATGTAATGAATGCTTATACATAGAGGTAATATGTATGAAGCCAGTGCATGCTAATGTATGGATGTAATATGTATGCAGCTAATGCATGCTAATGTATGGATGTAATGAATGCTTATACATAGAGGTAATATGCATGAAGCCAGTGCATGCTAAAGTATGAAGCTAATGCATGCTAATGTATGGAGGTAATGAATGCTTATACATAAGGTAATATGTATGAAGGCAATATACAGAGCAGCTGCACGTCAGGCCCGTGATTTTATCATCGATCGCCGCGGTCATTGACGGAAAAAAGACAATGAGTGGCGGCCGTGAATGACGGCGCCGGAAGTGACGATGACACCTGCTCTGCTGATCGCTGTGTGCTTGTGTAGTGTGGGGTGTGGGTGTTGTGTGTGTGTGAATGTGTTGTGTAGTGTGTGTTGTGGGGTGTTGTGTGTGTTGTGTGTGTTGTGGGTGTTGTGGGTGCTGTGTGTTGTGGGTGTGGGTGTTGTGGGTGTGAATGTATGGGTGTTGTGTGTGTTGTGGGTGTTGTGGGTGCTGTGTGTGGGTGTGTTTTGTTTGCTGTGGGTGTGAAGGTATGGGTGTTGTGTGTGTGAATGTGTTGTGTAGTGTGTGGTGTGTGTGTGGGTGTTGTGGGTGTGTGGGTGTGAATGTGTGGGTGTTGTGTGTGTGAATGTGTTGTGGGTGGGTGGGGGTGTAGAAGAGTGTGGTGTGTGTGGGAGAGCGGGGGTGTGCGTGTGTGTGGTTGGGGGTGAATGATGTGTGTCTGAATGTGTGGGGATGTGTGGGAGTGTAGGGGTGTGTGGTGAGTGTGTGGGAGTGTGGGGTGTGTGTGGGATTTGTGTTTGTGAGGTGTTGGAGTGTGTGTCTTATGTCAACGGTGTGTGTTACAGTGAGTATTTTGTCTAATTGTTTAACGTGTGTGAGAGTGTTGGGTGTTCTGCGTATGATGTGTGAGTGTGGGGAAGGAGGAGTGTTGGATTATATTGTGTATGATATGTGTTTGTGGAAGTGTTCCATGTGCTGTGTTGTGTTATTGCAAGATGCATCTTTCCTGGAGTCTTAGACGAGTAGTATTTAGGTAATGCATGTATTCAGTAAACATCGAGGGCTTGCATATGTAGTACTGACGTGTAGGAGTTGTGAATGATATATTTTTACTGACGAATGTTTGGTGTTGCTGATAATACGCCTGGTGTGTATGATGGTATGATCCTCTGGATAATTCATACATAATACAAAATACTAGTTTTCATTTTCACTTCGTGTCCTATAAACACAACCCAGGTTCTGTCCGCCGTTTGTATTGCAGTGTCCGCCGTTTGTGTTGCAGTGTCCGCCGGTTGTGTTGCAGTGACCGCTGGTTGTGTTGCAGTGTCCACCGGTTGTGTTGCAGTGTCCGCCGGTTGTGTTGCAGAGTCCACCGGCTGTGTTGCAGTGTCCGCCGGTTGTGTTGCAGTGTCCGCCGGTTGTGTTGCAGTGTCCGCCGTTTGTGTTGCAGTGTCCGCCGTTTGTGTTGCAGTGTGCGCCGGTTGTGTTGCAGTGTCCGCCGGTTGTGTTGGCGGGCTCGCCGCTTGCCGGTTGACTGCGTCGCACAATCAATGCGCCGCCGCTGCTTCCGCAACGTTCGTCGGAAGTTATTAAGACAACGAACGTGATTTGCAGGGCAGGAGATTCGGACAGGATACGGGATTTACAGAGGGTATGTGATTTGCAGAGGGTATGTGATTTGCAGAGGGTATGTGATTTGCAGAGGGTACGTGATTTGCAGAGGGTATGTGATTTGCAGAGGGTATGTGATTTGCAGAGGGTATGTGATTTGCAGAGGGTACGTGATTTGCAGAGGGTACGTGATTTGCAGAGGGTACGTGATTTGCAGAGGGTACGTGATTTGCAGAGGGTACGTGATTTGCAGAG